CCCCGGGGGGCAGGCTCCCTGCAGCAGCCGAAAGGAAGGAGGGCAAGGGGAGGTGAGGACGAGGGTCCTGCTGCAGGCCAGGGGCTTCCCACAGCAAACCTCTTGCCTCCTGCTCACAAAGTCACCAGGCAGCTTGGTCCAGGGCCGGGAGCGAGGAGGAGATGCCAACCCTCCTCCTGCTCAGCTTGATACCCGATGGCAACCTCAGGATTGCAGCTCTGCTCTGCGTGGGTACCGCTGCAGTGATGGAGGTGCCCTTTACTCCAAGGTGACTGCCCTGAGTTGCCCAGGAGTGAGCAGCAGGGCAGAGGGTGCCTACTAAGCTCAGCAAACCATTTCCCGCTCCGCACCCCACGCTGATGGCGGCGGTGCTGCCTGTGGGGGGGTCATGGTGATACCCACAGGTTCCTCCTGCCTTCTCCCCTTGCCCCCACGCTGCTAGCCCTGGCCAAGCACCAGACAAATCACCAAGCACCAGACAAATCACTGAGCACCCCTGGTGCAGAGCAGTGAGGAAGGGAAGGATGCTTTCACACTCCAGCCACAGCCGACAACCCAGGGGAAGCATCAGCCGGACGTCTGCTGACAAACAGGTCTTTGCTTCTACAGGCAGAAATGAGATGCCTCTCCTGGTATGCTGGGGTGTGGGCCAGAGGAGGAGAACATCAATTAATCCTCCTAGATTCAAAAATTACAGATCACCCCCTTGAATCATTGGTTCGAGAAGGAAAGTGAATGTTTCTCCTAATCCCTTATGTGCCCAAGAGCACCAAATACCACACAGCAGCATTACGCAGCCAGCGGGCTGAGAGGTGCTGCAGTTCTCAAAATGATATTTCCAAGCACGAGGGTCCCTGGTGCCGCCTGTGCCAAGAGACAGAGCTGGGGCTGCCTCGGTGAGGCTCTGCCAGAGCACGCGGCAGCCCGCTGCTGCTCATCGCTGCCGTGGTTTTCCACATCCGCATCCTCCCTGCCCGCGTGTGGGAGGGCAGCTGGTGACCAAACGTGGAACCTGCTCACCAGCGCTTGGTTTCCGGATTTAGAAAAGGTTTCAACAGGGTCAGAGTGACGTGAGCTCCTCCTGCCCAAGAAACTCTGACTCTTGGTTCACCTCTCTGCTCAAAAAGTGCTGCCTTTCCTCACTGTCGGCAAATAGGAGCTGAGATTGAAACTTTAAGTAAGTCCACTTACCAGCTCCGAGTGCTTGGGTGTCCCAAAAAAATTCAACATAAAATTCCCCAAACTCAGTCCCCAGCACATTCAGAGTTCAGTCACATGAGGAGGACGGGTAAATGTCCTATGAGAGGAGGCACGATAGGAACAGGCTGGTGAGGAAGACTGGGACCAGTTTGGTTCCTGCCAAGCACCAGCTACTGGTTGTCACTTGGCCTGACTATAACCACCACAGGCACCTAAATGGGCCAAAAATCACATGTTTTCACCATGGGGATGTTTTCAGCCTGTTTTGCTCCCCTGGACTGAGGGTACCAGGGGTACCAAAGGAGGAGGAGGGATGCAGGGCTGAGGACGGGAGCGGTTTTTTTAGCCTGGAGCAGTTCAGACAGCTGGGTCACATTTGCCCTCCTTGGCCATGACAGATGGGGACACTGACTGCCCATCCCTCCTGGCCTTCATCAAGAGATCCCCAACAGCAGCTGGCCCAGCAACCACTCCGACACAGATCCAAACCTAGAACCGTGGTGAGGAAGGCTTTGAAGATGCAGGACCCTGTGCTGTAGCCAAGGACTAAATTCAGCCTTGGCACAGAGCGTTCACAGGCAGGTCCTTGCCCGTGAAGATGGAGGCTGCTCCCCAGTCGAGGGGTATGGGCAGCTTTTCAGCGATGCTGATGAAGCCCGGCTGATTTATGCCAGAGGATCTGACCTCAGCACCTCTTCGGCTGCAAGCAAGCAAAGACCCAACCTATGCACCCTTGGGAAGGAGACTGCCAGCCCCTGCCCCTGCCCTGGGCTGAGGCTGAGCTAAGGGATAAAGCCCATCGCTTGACAGGAGCGATTCCCTGAACACCACTTAGAAGCCGTGGGTCACTGCAGGGACACAACAGCCATCTGAAGCTCCAGTGATGTGCTTAGAGCTGCTAATTTGGGTGAAAAAGTGTTTTAGCAGAGGGTGTGTGTAGCTGCAGGCATACACCAAGGAGACTCCAGCGCTGATGTCAGAGCAGTGGGAGATGTCACCCCCTGGCACCCAGAAACCTGGGGTGTAGCAGGATCTCTGTTACTGCACCAGGCTGTTCCTTGGCCTGCTGAGACAGGATCAGTCCCCAACACCTGCCCTGTGCACCTCTGCCAGGCTGTTCCCAGGACACAGCAGCCACAAAATCCCCTGGCATGCCAGATGCGACACGCTGGGATGTGGTGCTGGGACGCCTCCTTCCCCAGAGAAGGTGGAGAGGGATGTCCCTGCATCCTCTGCATGCAGGGACAAGTCCCTTCCTGCCGTCTCCTTTACCATTGCCACCCCTTCACATCACAGACCATGGAGCTAGAGACCTGGTCACAGCCACCTCAGCGCTTTGTGCCCGTTGAGCCTTGACCCATCACAGGCCAAGTGCCCGCTGGGAGGTCCCCCATGCCCATGGCTTGCTCAGGCACTGCGTGGGGATGGCAGGCACAGAGATGACTCTGAGCTTCTCTGCAGCCCCCATGTCTCATCCAGGGATCCAGGTGAGCCAGGTCCCCTCTCCTGCGCTTGCACTGCTGGCCTGGTGTCTCCCATAGGGACACTCTCAGCCAAGGGAACGTAACTGAGTCTCCAGGACAAGACCCTCTCCGTTAACTGTGCTTCACCCCCACAGCCCAGTGCAGCAGGCAGGGCTGCTGCTGGCAGCAAGTGTGAGCTCAGTCCCCAGAGGAAAGGCAGCACAAGACACCAGAGCCCCCTCGGTACAGCCAGCCCCCTCTGCCTGCCTCATCTCTGCTGAAACAGCTGGTGAAAGGAGGGGGATATTGTCCCCATTTCTGGGGATAGTGTCCCCATTTCTGGGGATGGGGTCTGCACTGGTCCTGGCACCTGGTGGGCTAACTCAGACCTGCAGGAGAAAGATTCATAGGCTTTTGCCTGGGAACCCCTGCCCCATTCCCCCAAAGGATGGGGATATCATATATCATATCATACCATACCATATCATATCATACCATATCATATACCATATATCACATCAGATTCCCTGTCCCTGCACCATTCCCACCGCAAGTGGGAGCAGAGGGACCATGCAGGGAAGAACCCTGCCCCAAACCTTCTCAGCTCCGGGCTGCACTCACCTGCCCTTGCATCCTTCCAGCTCCCAGGATCACAGCTCCCGT